ATCAGAACTCATGCATGAGGAAGATGCACTATGGAGCATAGTTTCAATTATTATATTTGCCAGCTCCACTTGTGAATTTGCCAGCTATGATAAATGTTATCATCCTGTTGTTTGTTCTGCATTTCTCAAAGTGAACTAAAAGACAATGTAGCTTGGAACTGTGAATATTAATTACCAATAAAATTGCAGCATTAATCTTTCCCCTGCTACTCCTCTTTTTTTTTTTTTTTTTTTCACAACATCTTGTGGATGTTAAAACAATTTGTTTTCCCAACTTTCTTTTTGCCTTCCTACTATATTTTTGGGGGTGAAAGTTGCTTTGCCATATTCATAACATGCATCTTAAATAACTGAACACTGCATTTTGGCAAAGGATTTAATCAGTTTTTCATGGTTTTAATTCAGCCTCTGAGCTCACACTAACTGGCATAAAAGTACCAGGGTACCTTTCATCCATAACAAATTTCTCTGTGTCCAATGTCATTATTCAATTTGCTTCAATTTTGGTGAATTGTTTTGATAGCCAATCCTTTTTTTACAATTTATTTTGCTGAAGTTCCAAAAATAAAGTTTTATATAAAAAGTTAGATGACAGCAGGCTGGTCAGAAAGGTATTATTTTCTTTTTCAGTTCCGTGAGCGTTACACATCTCTGGCTGATGAAAGTAGAAGTGGTGTAATTCTCATGGTAATTTGTGCAATATTCCAGTCAGTAATAGTGTCTTGTTGAAATATGCATGAAAAAGTCCATAACATTAGTGTAATGGACACACTCCAACACTCTCTCCCATTCAACTTCCTCATAAAGATTTTAAATTACTGTCTTAATTAGATCTTAATATTAACGGGAATATTACATAAAGCTAAATGAGGACATAAACTTCAGCTGAAAGCTAATTCTACCCAAACCCCTGCCCTCTGGTCTGCACACACAAAAAGGTTTTGGAACATTTTCATGCTCTGTCTTGGTTCTACTGATTGCTCCTTTTTAAGCTTTTACCAACAAATCAAGCTTTACTTTTTCCTTAACAAAAACTTCCAAATCTGTCAGAGAAAACAAGGAATTACCTTGCTTAGGTCAGATTCACAATAATCTTGATTACTGCCCTGGCATTTCAAAACACTAGGGAGCTAATGAGAAAATGTACAATACAGTAGATTAACTTGGTCACTTCACTTTTTCTTTTCTTCTTCTTTT